TTAATATACTGCCTGATTATATTAAATAAGAATTAAACCAAAATACGTTAGGTAATCATAAGTCTACGAATAAATGCTGAATCTACTATTGCGTATTAGGGCTTTTTAATCGAAATCAAGTTGTCATTCGCTAATATTATGGGTTAAGGTATGGCTCACGTACATAATCTTTATCACTCAGTCATCTCTTTGATATGAAGGATTTCGGGTAGATAACAGTAATACTAAATTCTCTAGTGATCAATTGCTTACTTTAAGACACTGAATCACATCGTTTGGCTCATTGAGTTTGTATATCATTCGGAGGAGACTTATTAGGCCCTCTTAAAAATACGTGGTAAAATCAACCTTCTAAGCCTGCTACTCATCTTGTAGTATATATTACTGACCAGGGAGCTCCAAGCATCACTGTTTTGGGCTCTTCCTTTCAGTTGTTGCAAAGTGCTATTTTTAGTCTTGATATCTACCTCTGTATTTCAGCGGAAACGTTAAAAACACCTACCTGGTCTAACTAAAACTTACGGAGACCGATTTGAATGTTTGTGTTGTTTCACTGAGTAGACAAATGAGTGGATATATATATATATATATATATATATATATATATATATATATATATATATATATATATATATATTGGTTTACTAGTTGAAGTGTAGTGCTTACAAACCTATTAGCCGATAGGGTATTTGCTTGGAACACGGCTTCGAAAATCTAGATAAATACAAAATAGAAACTTATTAACTTATATTTTGTTCTCAATAGAATAACGAACACCTTGTTTACTTTCTCAATATATTCTCCGAGTGACTTAGGAAATATCAATTGACATTAAATAGCAATGAGGCGATCTAACAATTATTTAACACAATGCAACACTGAATGGAAGTATGCTAAAGAAACGAGGTATTACAAATAAATAGAAAAAGTGAACTAATTGATAAGTCCAAACTTTATGGTTAGTATTAAGGTTATGCTTCATCGGTTTCGATCTCTAAGGTTTCAGTTTGATCACAATTGATTGATCACTTGGTGGTGATCAATGTCATGTATGTCAATTCCTTCTTACTGCAGATCCAATGATATTGATCGAGTTGCAATGTAGCCACCAATCTAGGTGACTCGACATTGAGTGCACTATGTTGAGATTAGATGGTGGTTGGAGGTAGTCATCAGGAAACCCTGGACCCGGGTTTCGTGCTACAGGTACACCTTGCTGACGAGTACCAAGCAGCACGAAACCCGGGTCTAGGGTTCCCTGTTGACTACCTCCAACCACCATCTAATTCAGTTTGATCATTTACTAAATCTCATATAGTAAAATAAATCAAGGAAATAAGTGGTTAAATAAAACACGTATAGCCTTTTAAATTGTTTTTATTCCTTGAGTTGATTTTTTACCAGTTCTTTTATGCTGACAATGCTGTCATTAACACAAATATCTGTGTGGTCAGTGGTTGTACACGCGCAGCATGCATATGTAATAAAACTCATTAAATTCATAATATTTCATTTTTGGAAGGTGAACCTTGCCTTATGACGTGCATGACACAATTTGGTTTTTATACACAAATTGTTCTATTGAGTTCAAAGATATTTGAATGGATTATATATAAAACCTAGAGATCATCTTTTGTTTTCTAGTTCACAAAACTTCATGTTGTGTGCTCTATTCTGTACGGTATGGTAGGTACATAATTCCTATAAGTCCAATGGTACAGTGAAACAGACATGAAGGACTTCTTGGCTTTCCAGATTACATTAATTAGTGACTGGAATTAGTTTCAGAATATATATTTTCTGAGAGTCGTTGCATCGATATATCATGCAATAAAATGGATACATTTTATGCTGATCGTTTCAGTCAATTCATACAACTTGTAATATTCTGTTTGTCTTGTATTTAATGTTCCTATGTGAGCTCAAGGATCAAGTTGTTCTGATAAACTGATAGCACTAATCTGTGGAACTGATATAATGAAAACTGAGTTTCTGGAACTTTCAGAACTTTTATTTATTACCAGTGCAAACATCGTCTGCTAGGTTATTTTGAATGTGCACTTCATTCTGCACGTTGAAACGTATTCCTCGTTCATTAGAAAAAGGATTGTTTTTGCTGTATCCCAGATGTTCTACATTTGTGCATATGACGTTTTAATATTCCTTGCCGAAATCTTGGGTGTAAATTTTTAAAAGAGTAGAAGAAGTTACTTCTTAGTCAACCTGATGACATGTCGGTTTTGAGTCACTGAGAAATAACGATTATCACAAACATTTTTCAGCATACATGTCATTCAAGATTTTCTACCACTGAAAACTTATCTAGACTGAGAATTAAAATTTTCTTAAACATCCCAGTTTGTGTCTTTGTTAATGGTATCAATTTGGTTAAGATATCACCTTATTACGTAAACTAAGAAGTAGTGATTGTCTGATTTCCTAAATTCATTTGTTTACTGTCATTGTTGATTGTCATGTGCTAAACGATACTTAACATTGTTCCTTTGACAGAGTATCTAAGCTTAGTCATATGGGTTACTATATTGTTACTATTATCAATGGTGTTTATCGGTTTTCGGTATTCCCCGCTAGTTTACATACTTGAATCCTAATGTCCTAGAATCCTGAAGATGAAATTGTGGTTTCCGAACGCTGGACAAACTTACATAGAGAAAACCATTAGAGTAACTCTTCATCTTCTGGTCCTACCTTTTGGTAGAATTTCCAGCTGTGAAAGACTACTAAGAAAGTGGTGAGAGCTACAAAACGACGTGAAGAAATATATATATATATATTTAAATATTCACTAGGTCGATGTAATCTCACACCAAAATTTATATGATGTCACTACTTGCATATCAGTTATAGAAAGAAGCAGATCTAACGGATAATAGGTAGTCATTCTACTGAGAGCCGTTTTGAATTTTCCTTTCGGTTGGAGGATAAATGAACACACGATAGTAAAATGAAGGACGTTTTCTTTATCTCATACATTATATACCGATTAACCAAAAATATGTAGTACTTATCAGTTGTGAAAGTCAAGTAGTTTCATATCTACAATTATTAATTGTCCATCAGAATGATTCAACATGTTACATTGCTACAATCTTATTTGGAAACATGTTTCCAGTAAAATAACTAGTTTGTAAATAATTAAAGCTGAGAGTTTCCTACCTTAAATGAGCATATTACTACATTAAATCACCTAAGGAAATTAACAAAGTGTCGATAATTACTATTTACTATACTCAGTAGGTATGTATTCAAATCACTTTAAGCATTTTATGTATTTTATACTTGTTACTCTATACATGCTTGTTAGTTTCACAATGAAGTAAAATAGACGCATTAAAATCAATAAATAAGATTTTATTAAGTTTGCCAAATACGTTCACATAAACCAACTGACATGTGGAATGTAAAAGTTGTTTTTTTTATTTATTGAAAGTAAATAATTTATGAAACAAAGTTTTGCAATCTGAGACACACAATTTGAATTATACTAAATTGTTGATTATAAACATATATATATATACCTAGTAATACTAAATAGAGTACTAGTGATTGTGTCATGTGTAGTCAATAATGAATTAATTGAACAGTGTGAAAGTGAAGTATATTCAACTGAATTATATATGATTCAAATTTCTTTTAGTAATATTTATTAATGATAGCGATTAAATCTAAATTGATAATAAAACGAATTAGATCTATGGTTATCACCAGAAAGCTTGTTCTTAAACTTAACAATATTGTAAGATCTAAAGTTTTGTCTAAGTGTAAATTGTACTTTACTAAAATGTTTTTGTTTAAAACTCATTCCATGTTGTTCAGCATTTCAAGAAAAGTATAAAATAATAGAGTAGAAACAACCTCTTTACTTGTAATAGTTTTATGCATTGTAGATCACAAAAGATTTTTGTTAATCCTGGTTTAATGTTCATTTATGTTATTATCTGATGAAAAAAAGTATCAGAAATGATGTTAATGAATTCCGAAATAAAATCCAATCAAATATAATGCAAGAAACATAAATCGATTAAACTTTCAAATAAATCTCACCTATTCAGAAAACAAAGTCACTTGCTTGTTATTAGATTCATGAAATAAGTAATATCTACATAACTAACTATGAAACCACAGAATCATCATTATAAGCAGTAGTAGTCCGTTATGTTAGATGAGTTCTACATACTAAACTAATTACTTTCTCTAGAATTCTTATAAGCGTGGTAACAGAATGTAGAAAATGAGAAATAAGAGTAATACATGGATTCATAAAATACATAATTATTATGTACAGTATTGTTTATGAAAACAAAAACAGTAATCTGAACTTTTTATTCAAACTATCCATTAATAAAATCATTAGTTCAAACAAATCAAACGATAAGTATCATACAAGAAAAATGTATTGAGATTACGATTATGAAATTATTACTTTTCGGGAGCTTTCTAAAAGATATCTTGCAAGTATAACAACATTTGTAAACGCTTATGACGGATGAACAATAAATAATTCTGATTACAATTCATTGATATTCCCAAGTTGAAAATAATGTAAACACATAATTATGGTTGATCACACCTATAGTTTCACCCATAAATCTAATTTAAAAATAGTCTAAGTCTATGAATTAAATTAACAATAAACTATTTGAGTTTTAGTCCACATTTTCAATCCCATTTAAATACACCAATACTTTTAGTCGATAATTTAATCCCGATCAGAGTCCCTTTTATCTCCGGGTTTCACCAGAGTTTATTCTTTTAGTAGTTATTTTTTTCCAACTATTAACAGAATATATTTCTAAGTTTGGTTAACCATGCAAAAGCTATTGCAAGTTTGTCTCTAAGTTCATTACCAATAATTAATTAATGATAATAACAATTATTATCCACTCAGAATAATGTATGGTGACCAATCATATTATTCATTTCTGTCTATATAAATAGATGCATTTAAGTTTGCTTTCAGTAATACCCTAAGTTTCAAATCCACAGTTAATTGATCAAATAAGTAAGTGGTCAAGATCTATTTATTTAATTGATTCTTATCAAATGTGATCGTTTCTTGTTTTCTTTTAGCTGTGTATTCATATTTATTGTTCCATTTATTTTTCCACATAGATTAATTGAATATTCAATATGGAGTAAGTGGTTAATTTTTACTTTCCTATAATACTTTGTTTCACCTGACACCAAAAATTGATATCCTTATGAACTTAAAAAAACATTATTAAAAACGTAAATAATTTTAAATTTATTCAGAGTTGTTCCATATCATGAAATGGTGACTTCCGCAAATGTAACCTTTACACAATTGACAACGTTCATATACTTAATCTATTGTGACTAGTTATTGTTCATTTGAAAAATACATTAAACTAAAATGTCTGCTATCAACATGGTTTACCTAATAAATATTTTACCCTGTGCATAGACTGTTAATATGCGGAAGCATTGTCGCATTGTTACTTTGGTTCTTGAAGCTATTCATTGAAAGTGTCTGTTTTTCAAACACATTCTGAGCCAAATAACAGGTCTTGTACATGGCGCTATTGACTCCTCATGTTCACCCAAGCTGGTAATGTCATTTCTGGTTCCTCAAACTTTACTGACCAACAAAATGCACGTCAAATATTTTAGATAGTAAGAACGTCGCTCAGGTATACTGAAAACTCAATAGACCTATAAAAGTATGGATGAGTTTTAAAATATCGCATTACGTATACCTTTAGATATTCACTGCTTACTTTTACTGCACTGTGGTCGCTAAAATGAACTTTTAAGCAAAAATTTAAACCATGAAGAAACAATAATTATTTAATCACAAAACGCTCTTCAAAAGCTATTTTTTACTCCGATAGATTCACTACCACAAGTTAACATATATGTGAGATATACAAAAAATATCAGATTTGACTTAGCAGTTGCTGAAACTTGTCTAAGAGTTATCACCATTCAATATTAATAAGTTAAAAAAATGGATACGAAACTGTTTACTACTTGCTCATTATTTTTAATAATCCACTGATACAACTGTAGTAAAAACCACCGTCAGAATTTCATATAAAACAACTGACATTAATTTAATATGAATATAATTTTCCTTTAATTTCTGTTTTATTAGAGAATTGGAAGTCAAAGAGATGTTCTGTATGATTGATAAGAAACAACGTGGTAGAATCACTTGTAAACAATTAAGAAAATTTCTAAGGAGACATGACGCTAAATTCAGTAAGAAATCTGTAAGAAATTACGTCAAGTCAATAGACAGTGATGGGGATGGTAAATTGACATTGGATGACTTTATGAGAGCGCTTACCAAATGTGATCATACAAAATAAATTATATTAAATGTGATTTTATTCTGATAAAGAAAAAAAATGAAATAAGTATAAAATGTAAGGAGAAATTAACCTACTTAATAAAATCAAACACTTTATTACTACTTATCCTTCTGCTATTCCTCTGAATTAGTATGGCTTTATGGAATTACTTAATAAAAAAAATATCTATATAAATATTAATCTGCATATCACCATAATAAATAGTGTACATGTTTGCTTGTGAAAAGAATGAATTCAATTTTGTTTTACTAAATATTCGAAGATTTAATCTGTTTTCTTTTGTATTTATTGGTTGTTTATTATGTTCAATTTAATATATAATAAATTATTTCTCAATGTTAGTTGAATAGGTTACTTATTAAATTCCATCTGATCTATTAACTTCATTTATCATTTTATAATTGCTGCAACGAGGAAAGGAAATATTGATTAGCAGTTAGATTATTATAGTACTGTTATTTTGTAAAATGATGACTAGTACATTAAGGTTTTATTAAATGTGACTAAGCTCATTACTTGTACGTAGTGTAGTCACTGTAAGTGAAAAACCATTAAAACCTGTCTCAAAGTGTCAATAGCTATGGATACATTGAATTTCTGATTTCTTTTCACTCAAGTCAGTATTCTGTGGTTGAAGGTTAGTTTGATCTCTTAAATAAGTAAGAATTAAAGAGCCTTTATACTCGTATATATGATTATTGATAACCAGATCAGTATCGGGAACGTAATAAAAATATTGATGATAATCAAATGAATAATTAATTTTTTAACCTAAATGGAGGAAATGGGATAACAGAATAGTACTTAAGTTTCGATACAATGGTAATTTATCTATATTTTATTGAGTTCTGTTTATCCCTTATCCACTATATTACCATTGGAAATATGATTTAGGCAAACAGAAAAATATCACTTAGTGTAGTCCTGTTTTGTTGAAATTATTTGTGAAAATACTCAAACAGAAACAATGGAAAACTAACGGATAACCATTTTAATGTCCAAGAGGAACGATACACGTCTAATTTTTTTGCTAGGTAATCTAGTTAACGTGGTGAGGATCTATGGCAGTTTGCATTTTAATGCCAACGTAATTATACGAATATATATTCTGATTGCGTTTTATCGAAGTTCCACTTGTGAAATATTAATTATATTGTACATTTTAGTGATAACTGTACACAATTTTATTCATTCTCATCTCTTCCAAATAAATTCATTAAAAGTCAAGTTTATCGAACTTCCAGTGTTTATGTATCTCTATCTTGTACATTTACTATCCATATCTGAACTACATAATGGATTACAACAGAGTAGATGAAAAATTGACTAAATTTGTCAACTAATCAACATATAATAGGGTTTCTTGGTTTTAAAGTTCTATTTGTCCTCAGAGAGCTCTTCACGGATTATAGATTGGACCAAACTCGTAGCAATCTGAAGTGGATTGTTTCAAGTGACGAAACTTCATATATTATCTGATCCACTTTTTATGTACCCTTGCACTATTTCAAATGGCATTAAATACCTAATTGTACTTTTCTCCACACAACCGTAATTCATGTAACTTGCATCCCACCAACTATGTTGTAATGAGTTCAACCCCATACTTTTATTCCCGCTCCATTAGGAATAGGTTTAACGATTACTTAAAGTTTGTTTTTCCTTGATGCTGTTTTGTACATGATCTTATTAGAACTTATCGTGAGGCATTTTTATGCCAATCAATTATTGTTTCTCGATAGTGCTAACCAAAAATTGTTATACCACAACAGAATGTAATCTATCTATTACTGGATTAAATAAATGACGCATTTCATATGACATTCCATATATAGCAGCATGGACGTACAGCTGATGAACTATGCTAATTAACTGAATGATATTTGAATCAAAATCACTTTTATAGTAATAAGTCATACTCTCGAGGAATAGTTGTAAGAAAAGTTTGAAACAGCCTCTATTTGCGGAAATCAGTTTATTGACCTGTATTAGTTAATAACTGAACGTCAACCTGGTGAATGTGAATGTATCAGACACTTGGACACACTCGTTATTTAATGAATATTGAAGTGACATTTTAAATATAAATATCCTTCAAAACAAATGAAACAAGTAATCAAACTTTAATTGACATAATTTTGGATGGAAGACGCTTATCCTGACTGTAAACCTTGTACTTAATAGATTCAAGCAACAGTTATCAGCAGTTTTCCGACTGAAGGTCTTTTGATTTCAGTTAACCAACTCAAATGGCAATCATGACTAACTAAGACAAGAATTCTAAAGATGATTCTTACTAGCTTAATGGAACTGGTTTGTGGCAGGATAACAAAATGACAACAACCAGTTTAGTATTATTTGCATGAATAGCTAAAATTACCCTAATTTCGTATTTCTTTAATGATTTTGAACCCAAAGAGAGGTAGAAATTCTAAAGACTACGTCTGATAAACCTGGTTTAACTTCAGACTCCTATATTATTGCGTATTATTTTATTTTTGCTTGACCACTGAAATACTATTTAATCAAGACTGAAATTAGCATTCGCCAGAGTATTCGTGCTTCAAAACATGAAACTTCACCATCATTTCTTATTGGCCTTCATCAGTGTATACATGCGATATGGTAAAGTTGATATTTATTTCACAAATACACTTTCCAAAAGTTAATGCATACAAAACTAGCAGTGATTATGACATTAAAGGTCGCTTTAAGACAGATATAACGTCGGAACAGTTAGATTTTTCAGTGAAATCTTCATTAGAACCAATCTGATGGCATGACTGTGCTTACTGAATATAACGTAATATAACTCAATGTAAATTATTTGAAAAGAAGTTTCTAAGAAGTAGTTATTTTCTCGTGCTTAAATACTTTAGCAAATAACTACCTTTCTCAGGTTACTAAAGTTTATCTATTACAAATTACCAACTGGTCATGAACTAGTACCTTAGTGATAGTAAGCGTCTTAATCTGCCGTATATATATATATATATATATATATATATATATATATATATATATATATATATATATATATATATATATATATATATATATATATGTATAATATTTTTTTCGCCCCCCCCCATGCAGGGCAAACATAAATCTAAGTGTCTTACCAATAACTTCATGTCAAGTTTATGATGCTTTTGGTGTCCGAAACAACTGCAGAGTTACTTTAATAGCAAAATAAGAAACATTTTTTGATGCGATTGAGTTGCGAGATTTCCGGATTTCGTGTTTCGACATTTAGTTTCAAAGGCCATTAGTAACAAAAGCTCACAGAATACCGGAAACATGTATATCAAAACATATTGAATTGTAGTAAGCGAGTTTTATCTGTTGTTTAAAAAATTATGAAGATAACAAAATTGAACATATCCAACTTTTGAGTTGAACATGAAAGATGAATTTACAAAAAACAAAACTCCGTTACAAAACATGGGTAACATTTACGGATTCAACAATTCGATCTTTTTTTATTGTATTCACGTTTGATTTCGTAGAATAACAAACTGGAAAAAACCATAACGACTATGACAAAGTGATACTGGACAACTGTAGTATTATTATTTTTTTTACGAAGTAATATTTGAGAATTTGGAAAAATACCAGTAACAATGATGTTTATAATAGTGTAAGTGATCATATTGTGTGAAAATTATTAATAATTGAATCACTATTAAGGAACGAATTCATGAAACTGATGTTTTGAGTATAGATAATAAAACATAAATGTTCATTTGATAGGTTTAGAAAACTCACATTTCCGCAAAGATGGCTACTGCAAATACAGATAAACACTCTTGTTTAAAAGCTGAGCTATGAGCAACGAATTCCAACTTTTCTGCAGTTAAAATGTATTTAATAATAGTGAAAACTATGATTTCTTTTTAATTGAACAGATAAGTGTCCTTAAGAAACCTTGGTCTTCATGCAGTTTGGGCGTTGATTAACCACGTGACGAAGTAATCTAATGATATGGAGAATTTCGTACTATAATGATTACTTCCATCTTATTTTCTTATTCTTACTACATGAAATAAGGGTCAACATTCTCATTAACAGCGAAAAATGTATAGTTTACGTGTAAGTAAAATGAGTCAGTCAGAGGTTTATGCTGAACTATGGTTTGGAATGGATTTATTAAAGGAAGACCCATTGGTTACTTCATCTGTCTTCTCTGATAAACTCACAAGCAAACAACATACTTACTTACGCCTGTTACTCCTCGTGGAGGAGTATAGGCCGCCCACCAGTATTCTACATCCAACACTGTCCTGGTCAATCCTTTGCAGCTGTTTCCAGTTGCAAACAAAGCCGAGCATATAAAGTCCATTTTAAAAATATTCATGCTGTTTTAAAGCATCCGTTTTTATACTATTATTTTCGATGTTGTTACATAAAAACTGTTAGGTTATTCAAATGATTAACATTTAGATTATTTAGTATCAATGATATAATTACTGAAGTTAGCTTTCTGACTATTCCCATTCTGATTTTAACATCTTAAAAATCATTTTATCACTGTTTACCTTCATTTAAAACTAATTCAAGCATTCGGAAATAGTTCTTTGTTTGTCACATCCATTATTCCCGTCTTGGGTTAAATTTATCGTTATCGACCACTTCAGTTTCTTCCATTCAACTTGTTTTGGAAGACATTTACATATTGTTTAATTTTCTTCTCTGACAATTATTCTGCTTGGTTGTTAAGTGAAAAGTACAGATGAATCAACAACTTAATTCGTGAATTCCTTTTACATTGTGATAAGTACGTGGTACAACAGGCAAAAATGAACACGTTTATTCACGCAAATTCTGTGTACTAACGAATAGTTAGTGACGTAGTGACTGAATGCGAAAAGAAATAAGGTTCACAGTACGATTCGAATCAAAGGCCTACAGGAACGAGATAGCAGCAGGATTATTAGAAGAAAGATTTGAGAACGGAATGTACTTGCATGTAAATTTAATTTGTAGAAATTATAAGT